AAAACCAGGTCATGGCACCTGCCCTGCGGGCCGAGGTGAGGGCTGAAGGAACACAGTTGGGAATACATCCTCACGTGCACTCAGAGCAGCCTCAGTGCTGCAGGTCCTCCGGTGTCCTCCTTGTGCCTGTCGCTGGCCGGACTGCTGTGACTCTGCCCTGCTTTGCCCCACCCCAGGCGGAAGAAGGACTCCGTGGAGAGTCACCCGACCTGGGTGGATGACACTCGGATCGACGCAGATGACATCGTGGAGAAGATCATGCAAAGCCAAGACTTTACGGACGGCAGCAACACTGAGGGTGAGCTGCCGGCACGGGGAGGACCGGGGGACGATGCCAGCTGTTCCGGGGGTCCCCTGGCTGCCCCTGCCCCACTCAGCCTCCATCCTCCCCTGTGTCCCCACAGACAGCAACCTCCGGCTGTTTGTGAGCCGTGATGGCTCTACCACGCTGAGTGGCATCCAGCTGGCCAACAGGTAAGGGTGACAGTTTGGGGATGGGTCACTAGGGTGGCCATGGGGAACAGGGGTGAGAGCAAGGTCTCTGCAGACATTGACCTGGCTTTGAATGCCAGTTCTTATCACCACGTTGTGACCTTGGACCAGTCACTTCTCTGAACCTCGGTTTCCTTATCCGTCAAATGGTGTGGACCATACCATCTCCACCTAGAAACCTGGGACAACATGCCGGGGTTGGTTCTGAGGGTTGAAAGGATAGCCTTGGAAAGTGCCTAGCACAGGGCTTGGCACACAGCAGGGGCTTTATCCGTCTGTATTTTGCCCTCTGCTTTTCCCTTCCTTCTGGATCTGAGAACCCCTAAAAATGATGTTGCTGACTCATTTTATTTATTGAACAAATATTTATTGAGCACCAGCTATGCACCAAGCACTGAGCTAGGTCGTGGGGATGCAACAGTGAGCAGCACAGATCTGTGCCTGCCTAATGTTTACATATGAGGGGGTGGTAGGACCAAACTTGGGCTTCAGGTCTGCAGTTTATAGAGGGCCTTCTTGTGATCATTTATTTATTTGTAGCATGTTTACTGGCTCACTGAATGAATGAGCAGAGGAGCTTCCCATGTGCAGGGTCGTCCTGAGGCCTTTCCCCCCTGTTCCTGTGGGCCGGATGGGAAAGTGCACATCTAACATCTAGGTTCCGGGGTGTGGGGGGACGTGGCTGAGCTGCCCAGGCGCCCGGCACCTTCCCTCTGGTGCTGCTATGCTGACACCTGCTGGCTGAGGCTTGAAATTGCAGCTGCCTTTCCTGGTGGCTTCCTGGGCTGTCCCGGGTAAGGTGGGCAAGAGGAAAACAGGATGCCTCCTTGGAGGTTTGTAAACACCACCCCCTAACCCCCTATGACAGTGAGGATACGGGGGATGGGAGAAACCAATTTAATCAGGAGCAAGGTCTTAAAAGAGCTGCACCCCAAGCCCTGAATGTCCATGACCCTGTGGCTGGGTGGGCCTGGCTTCCGCGGGGGAAAATAAAAGCCAACCAGGCTCCCCGACCTTCTGCTGTCTTCTTGGTAAGCCTCATGATCCCTCTGCACCTCAGTGCCTTCATCTGTCAAGTGGGGTGGAGTGCAGTCTTTCCCTGCCAGGGCTGCTATGAGGATGGGTGCAGCACACCCCTGAGTGTAAGCCACTGGTGCTCAGGAAGGGCTCAGGCGCGGCCCGTAGCAGCTCTGAGATCCCACAGACTCCGATACTTACCATCTGTGTTGCCCTAGGCAGGTGACTCAACTTCCCTGAGCTTCGGTTTACCCCTCTGTGGAACAGGGCCAGTTAGTTACAGTGCCAACTCGTGGGGTGCTTACAAGGGCCTGCCCCGGAAGAGCGTCTAGGAGGATAAGCTGACCTGTTTCTCCCCTCCCCTCCCCTGCAGGGTCTCCTCTGGGGTCTATGAGCCTGTCGTAATAGAAAGCCATTGAGGAGCGGGCGTCCAGCCTGGAGAAGGGCCCTGCCTTCGTGGGCATCCAGGCCCGCAGCATTCCACGAGGGACCTTCCGCTTCGGATCACCTTCTGCGCCACATCTCATCTGTGCCTCCTCCGTGCACTCCAGCCCCGCTCCTGCCCCAAAGCATCATTCCACTGTCCTCCCATCCATGCCGGGACCCTCCTGGCCTGCCAGGCCCCGGGCACCACTGTGAATATTCTCCTCTGAACCACTAGGGGGGCAGGCCATGCAGGCCCACGAAGCAGGTGGACAAGACCAAGATGGCCGGGACTGCCCCGCTGGAGACCAGTTGGGCCCCTCAGTGGGGACATGCAGTGGCATCTCCGCGCAGGGATGCCTGTGGCTGAAGGGCCTCTTGCCCCTTGTCCCTGCTCATCCCAGGAGCATTGGCTCAGCCGTGCCCTGGCAGGGCCTTGCTCCACCACCCCCTTGCCCTTGGGAGGGCCGGTCCACCCCCAGAATCCCGCCACCATGGCTCCCTGACTGCTTAGTGCTTCAGCTGTCCCTTCCCTGTGTCCTGGGGGACCCGCTGGCGGCCTTCTCCTGGGAACCAAGACCACCCACGCTCCACATTGAAACCCCCTCCCCCAACGAATGTTCTCCTGCTGCCCCGGCAGCCTGCACTTTGCACATGCTCGTCTCCAGCACAGCCCCCCTGGCCCTTGCCTGCCTTTCCCTTGAGCCCTTCGCAAGGATTCCCTGGCACTGCCTGCTGTGCAGCCAGCGCCTGCCTCTAGCGGTCCGGCTGGAACGTGGCACCGCCTCTCCCCCTGTTTAGCTCCAGCTCAGGCCTGAGCCCATGTCGAGAAAGGTCTGAGCATCGATGGTGGCTCACCTCTGCTCGGGGCTGGATCCTGAGCAGCTGGTTTCCTGTAGGAAGCCAGGGAAGGTGCCTCCCAAACCCTTAGAGGTTGAGAGTCTGGCTGGGCTGGGCTTGGCAAGCAAAGCCCCCTCTCCCTCCCCGCAGGGCCAGCTAGCCCAGGCTGGGGCCGATGCTGAGAGGCAGGTGGGCTGTGACCGGACTGGCCCGGAGCTGGCTTCCTGGCCAGAAAAGCCTCAGCCCTCCTCTGGAAGCATCCCTCTCTCTGGGCGAAGGCGAGGTGGGGAGCAGTCTGGCCCTGCCCCCACCCCTCGCTAAAGCCTCTGCTGTCTGCACCCCACCCCTCCCGTCTTCCTTACTTGCTTGAAAATGGGTTCTGACTGCCAGCCAGTCCCTGGACAGACTTCCCTGCCACCCTGAAATTTCATTTATTTTGTGTGAACCCAGCAGGCTGGTGTTTACGTACTCCTATACCTTTTTTCTTTTTAACATTTCATTTCCTCTTTTCTTTCTTTTTCTTTCTTTCTTTCTCTCTTTCCTTTTTTTTTTTTTTTGAGTTCACAGTTTGGTATTTTCTCCTCCCCCCGGTGAGGGGAGGTGGTTCTGTTCTCTGCCCTACCTGCTACCTGCTGGCTGGGTCCCAGCAGGACTAGGGATCTAGATGGGGGGGAGGGGGGCAGGATACTGGTTCTCTCCCTGGTGGGGTGTCCTCCCCAGGCTGGGAGGGCTCCTTGCCCTTATGCTCCAGCTGGCAAGAATTGGAGCCTTTGTCTTGGAACCTCCTGGCCTTGGGAGGAGAGCATTTCTAGGATTCGTTGTCATTGTTTTTAATCCCCTAACTCTTAGAAACTGAATGTGAGGAGGCTCTTGCTAAGACAGGACAGAGTACTTGCTGTGGCTGGAGAGGGCTCTGGTTAGCCCTGCGGGTCCCTTCCTGCCCCGCAGGCACCTGGCGCTTTACAAGGAAGCTGGCTGTGCAGTCTCCAGGTGAAGTGACCCCCAGAAAACGGGAGAGCCCTCTCCTTCCCTTCTGTGTCTGCGTGACCTCTGCCCAATGGGGAAGCGCATTCAGGGTGTATTTGGGGTCTGGCTCAAAGTTCCGGGCTTCAGGCATAAAACAGCCAGTTCTGGTCCTGTTGGGACTCCCCCAAACCCCAGCCCCACCCAAGTTGAGGTTTGGGCTTGACAGATACCCCAGAAGCAGACAGAGCCTGCCACATTCTTCCATGCCAGTCTCTGGGCCAGGGTAATTGGACTGAGAATTCGGCCACATCCAAATTAACACTAGCTGGAGCCAGAGGCCTGGAGCCCTTTCTTCAATCTCTGGTCTTCTCAAGCTCGGTGAATTCCCTCCAGGCACCCACAGCTCCTGGATGTAAAATGCTATATATAGAGAAAGACTATATTAAAGATATTTTTGGAAAGGAATCAGTCTATGCAATGCCAGTTTGGAATCTTCTTGAAAGACAGTTTAACGTTTTTACTAGGAGATTTAAAGAAAATAAAAGTCTACAATATTTTTAGGTTACTTTTTTTGTGGTCACCCCAAACTGACCACATGGTGTGGTCTGCTGGGATGGAGATCTTCTGTGTTCTCCTCTCTCTTAGAGGGTTGAGCTGGGAAATGGGAAAATTTCTCTTTTTTTCTTTTGGTCTTTTTTTTTTTTTTAATCCCCTCCTTTCTAACAGAATGTTGCCGCCACCACCGCCCCTTATTCAGAAGGCTGTGTTTGTATCTCTGTCTCCCGGCTTCTGTTGTAGAAAATCACATTGTAAGGGGAAATCAGCCTAGTGTCAGTGTCTTGGTTGGGGGAAAAAAAATTAAATGTCGCAATTTTTGTTTGTTATGGCATGTTGGGTTTTGTTTGTTTCACCACGTGGTCAGCATCAGAAGAAAGCCAGATGTGCAGGTGGACATCCGGGAATGGGGGAAGGTGTAGGTGGCCTGGGTTCTCCCTGTCCTGGCTGCCATCAAAATTATTACCACCTTTATTACTCCAGATTCCTGGGGAGGAAACTGAGGCCCCGGAAGGCAGTTTCTTGCCAGACTCACACCTACTAAGTGGCAGCTCTGATCTCAGGGCACAAGTTCTAACCACTGGACTTCCCCAGCAGTCAGCCTGAGGGACAAATAACTGTGCCTCAGTTTCCTCAGCTGTAAATGCGCTGGCGGATGAAAATGGGTGTACAGCCTGACACAGGAGGTACTGAGTTTGTTCCCAACTCCTCTCGAGCCCCAGGCCCCTCACTTCCTGTCCCCCACACTCAAGTTACACAGGAGCCAGCAGCTTGGCCAAGCTCTGAGAAGGGCAAGGCACCCTGGCCTTTAATTAGCTCAGAAGTGGCAGGAAGCCTCCGCGGCCGTGGACAGGCCAGAAGGGACCAGACCACCAGGCCTCCTCCCCGCTGCAGCATGACCTCGTCTGCACCCCTTCTCTGGGCTGACACCCACTCATGGCCCCTTTAAACCCTGGAGGCTGATTTTGAGTCTCTTCCTCTGTTCTGCACGGCACACCTGGGGAGGGAAGAGTCGGCCCCTGGCTGAGGCCAAAGTCTGTCCTGAGATGGAGAGGGAAGTCCCTGGGCTGTAGGCCAAGAAGAGTTGCTCCTATCATCTTCGAAGAGTGCAGCCCCCACAGGAACCGGCTCAGGTGACCCAAGGAGTCACGCCGCCAGCAGGAGCAAATCACGCCAGGTTCAGACACATCTCTGCAAGTCTGTCTGCCCATCCTCCCGCCCCTCGTTCTGGGCACTAGGGATGCAGCAGTGACCACAGACCCCATCCCCAGGGAGCCCACAGGCCAGTTCAACAAGTACATGAGCGAACAAAAACTCAGTGACAAGCGTTAGCTCGGAGACACACAGGGGGGCTGTGGAGCACAGGGGAGGGAACCCTGCCCGGCTGTCAAGGGGCTTCCCTAGGACGTGTGGCATCCCACTGAGACCCGATGGGTGAGGAGCAGGTAGCCAGCCCCTCGAGCTGTGGCAAGACAGTGTTCCAGACTGGGGAAGGACCTGCGTGGGGGCTCAGTCCAAGACCTGTCTGTGCTGCTGCCCGGGCTGCAGGGACACGCAGAGCCCAACAGGCAAATGGTGAGGAAACGGAGGATCACCCTGACCTCATCCCCGCAGTGAAGAGAAGACACCAGAAAGGGTCTCCTAGAAAGCCAGGCGACCGGAAGGGGGCACTCCCCTCACAGCCAGTGAGAATCCTCCTCATCCCTGGGGACGCGGGCTTACCCACCCTCCCTCCTCCTCCCACCCCAGGTGGGGGCAATGAACACCCTCTGCACCCCTGTCGACAATTAGGGCCTCGGGACTAGGAAATGGGTGCCGGTCTCGGCCTCACCACTGATTCGAGTTGTGATCTGCAAGTCTTCTGAGCCTCATTTTCCCCATCTGCAAAATGGGAGTTCTGACCTCCCACGCCATGCCCGCTCTGGGTTTGGGGTCCTGGGATATTTAGAGATGGAGTTTTTCTTCTGGGGCGTGTTCGACAGGACGGATGGCATGAGTGCCAGCCAGTCTGGATCCTCCCACACGTTTCCATTCACTAGAAAGCGTCTGGGAACAGCGTGTCCCATAATGCCCTCGGAAACTACATTTCCCGACATGCGAAGGGGGGGGCGGCACCCTCCTGTCTTGGGATACGTAGTCCCGGGCCCGCTTAAAGACTACGACTCCCAGCGTGCCCCGCGGCCCAAGGCCAGAAGAGCCCGGACCCGGAGCGCGCTGTGGCTTGTGGCTCCGGGGAGGGATCGCCGGGGAGATGGTGAGCACCGGACCGAGTGCGGGGGGCGGGAGGCGGCTGGGAGTGGGGTCTGGCGCGGAGCGGGGGCTTGGGCACTCGGAGCCGGGATGGCTCACTCTCCCGCCGGCCCAGTGAAGGAGTGAAAATCCCGCGGCCCGGCATCCGCCCAGCCCGCAGAGTGATACTCGTCAGGCCTGTCTGCGGCTGTTGAGTGAATGGGAAGCTTAGCGTAAGCAGGCTGCGACGCCACCCCGCCAGTAGTGCACCTGAAGGGGGAGTTACTTCGTCAGCTGAGCCCTCCTTTTCTCCAGGCCACGGGGACAGACCAGGTGGTGGGACTCGGCCTCGTCGCCATTAGCCTGATCATCTTCACCTACTACACCGCCTGGGTGATTCTCTTGGTATGTGTGCTGCCCCCGCCCTTCGTCTTACCTTCCACCCCCGGATCTTGAAGCCGACCCCTAGCACCCATTTAAGCTGCTGTGTGCCGGGCATGGTGCTAGGCGCTTTACCTGCTTCGTCTCGTGAAATCTCCAGAACAGCGCTATGAGGACGATGCTAGAGGTGTCCCAGTGTATAGTTGAGGGAGCTAAGGCTCGGCGAGAACCGCTACCCTTAAGGCCCTTAACCACTACACTGTATGGCCCTGTTACTGATTTGCTTTTGCCTTTGATTGGAGTTCTAGTCCTTCCGGTTATCTTGCTCGCCCCTGGGCATGATGAATGCCAGCGGATTTTGTGAGGGCCTTTAGGTTTTTGTTTTTGTTTCTTTTTCTTGTTGGAAAATTGGTTGGTTACTGCTTAAGAAGCTCAGGGTGGTTGGAAGGCAAAATCTTGCAGAACTTTGGAGGGAAATGTTAGTAAAGAAAACCTGGAGCCCACTTGAGAACTCCTCACGTGCCTTTGCCCGGTGTTGGGCCGTGAGTGGCTTAGGGCAAGTCCCTCCTCTTCTGTTCATTGCCGGGTCCCCAGCACCAACTTAGGGCAGGCACCAGGCAAGTGCCCACGGAACAACTGTTCAGTAAGTGAATGAAGGAAACAAACCCCAACTCCCCAAATGCCATCATCTTAAAGCAAAGCAGGTGCTATACCAGTGCACTGACTGGGGTCAGCCCCGGAGATGGAGGGGGTGGTGGTGTTTGGGCTTGAAGGCCTGGGCAAGACAAGGAATGCTCACCAGAGCTCTGCCCTCGATACCAGCCGTTCATTGACAGCCAACATGTCGTCCACAAGTACTTCCTGCCCCGGGCCTACGCTGTCGCCATCCCACTGGCCGCTGGCCTCCTGTTGCTCCTGTTTGTGGGTAAGTTATCACTCCCTCAACGCTGAGCAGGGCGTCTGCTGGGAACTCCCACAACCCTCTCCCATCCCTGAACATGCTTCCCCATTTTGCCAGTTGCTGTCCACCTGCTTGAGGCTCCTTGCTGCACCCCCCTCCCCCAGTTATCCCCTGGGATTTTCCTGTTCCTCCTTCAAGACTGTCTAGTCCGTAGCCCCTCTGGCCTTCCCTATGCCTCAGGCTCCTTGGTCTCAAATGGGATGGCCCCAGTGGGGTGTCTCCCTTTCCCACCCCCGCGCCCTCCACCACCACCATCATCACTCTGTGCACACCTCGATCGCCTCTTACCCCCTCGTCACCCACTGGCTCATGATTCCTGCCCCTCTTTGTCTCCCCCGGGGTTTAGTGTGTGTCTTCATCATCATTATTATGTCCTCAGCTCCTGGAACAGGCTGTGGCCCTGAGCTGGTGCTTAAGAAAGCAGTTTGCATGAGTCACCTGGATGACTGGATGGTGGGGTGGGAGGTGGATGTGGGTTAGGCAGGTGGGTGGGTGGACAGGTGGTTGATTGGGTGAGTAGACGGATCATTGGGTGGGTTTGTTCCCTGCAGAATCAAAAACACTAAACATGGCAAATTGCCCGGGGTAGCTGCTCTGGTGGTGTTTGTTGAACACATGTGGGTAGATGTGTGGCTTGCTGAAGGACCAGGGAGGTGATTCTGGCCTGGCGGGTGCTTGGCCCCGCGTGCGGGTCACTTCCACCATGCTGGGCCTTGCTCTGGCCTCCCAGCAGCCCCGAGCCCAGATCTCACGCGGCCTTTCTGGTCTGTGTATTCCAGGAGTGTTCATCACCTACGTGATGCTGAAGAACCAGAAAGTGACCAAAAAGGCTCAGTGAAGGCCCAGTGGGGCTGAGGCTGCCGGCCCTTCCTCTGCCTCCCCTCCAAAGGTGGGGGCACATAGGACGCATCCAGGCACCGCGGCCCCCCTCAAGCCTGGCTGCCCTGAACACATCCTGGTGGGATGGAGCTGTTTAGGACTGACCACACAGGCCTGCTCCTCCCCTGCTCAACCTTCCGGAAGCCAGGAGGGAGGATTACTTGGAAGCCTCCCTCTCACCCCTTTCTGGCTCAGGGCCTGAAATATGCTGGTTGTCCCCACCTCGCCTTCGGGCTCCCCGTCACCTTTTCCTCAGGGTCCCACCCTCTTGTTTCACTGTCCCTCTTGTCACCTGCTGATGTTGGACTTGGCAGGTTCTGAGGTGTCATGTGACCTTTCCCCACACGTCCTGCTCCTCATCAGAGGCAGCTTTCCCAGGTCTGACACAGCCCCAGGCCCTAGGGTTACCACCAGGCCTCGGGGCACATTAGGGTGGCCACAGGGGGCCCCCAGACCAACTGCTCCTCACAGAGGCCCAGTCGCCCAGCCCTAGCGCTAGCCTACTGGGGAGAGCTGAACAATAAACACTGATGATGTGTCTGTCTCTGTGCTATCCCTGACCAGGGAAGCCAGGCTGCTCAGGAACTGGAGAGGGGCTGGTCTCAGGTCGGGAGACCCTGGTTTGTGCAATGAGGGTGCCTCAGGCGCCTCCCAGACTGTCCCTGTGCTGGACACAGGATCAAGTGGGGACAGAAACAGATGTGGATCCAGACAGGTGCAGCCCACAGATGGGAGCTCGGTGGGGGCATGGCAGTGTGCCAGATGCCAACCACATCAGCCTGTACTGAGCCTCCCCTGTGCCAGCCCAGCTAGCGCGCACTAGTATTTTAGGGACCCTCAGGCCAGTCCCCTAAAAGGCCAAGTCCATTGTCCGTCTCTTATACCCAGCAGCCCAACCTAGCATGGCTCTGGGCAGTGAGAGCTGGAGGAACCAGAGCAGGGCTGGCTGTGGTCAGGTTGACTGATCTGGCGCAGGCCCAGCCCTGTCTCCTGGTAATCAACCCCGCCCCCCGCGCAGCCAAGGCTCCCGTCCACAGTTCGTAGTTTAAGGCTCTGTCACGCCTTGGATGTTCACTCTAGTCAGCAGAGGCGGCTCCCTCATCTGAGAACAGAGGCCGACTGCGGGCACACCTCCCCTTCCCTCCCCTGGCCCATCTTCCCCCTGTCCTCCAGTCCAGGCAGAGCTACGAACGACCTGGGCTTCGGGTTCTGTCCTCTCCCCCTGCTGTGACAGGAGTATCGTGTCTCTGATGGTCCCCCTCTCATTGGAACAGCCACTGCCTCTCACTGGGGTCCTCCCTCGGTTTCACGAGCATCCCCAGGCCTCCATATAAAGGACTGTCCATCAACGGAGTAATTTCCTCCAGGTCTCTCCCCTTCGTAGCCAAATTCCGAAAAGGGGGTCCACATCTGCTGCCTGGATTTCCTCACCTTCACTGTGCTCGGCATCCTTCCTGGAGGGCTAGATCCACTCCGACCACCAGTGACCCCATGTTAGTCTGTGACATCCCCCTGGACGCACCCTCAGATGCTCTCAGTGTCTGTGATGACCCATTCTCATACTCCTGTCTCATGCTCCACTTCTGCCATGAGACAACATTGGGCTCTTTGGGACTTGGTCGCGAGCCTTCTCCCCACATATCCTGGGTGGCCTTGTCCTCATCCAGGCTCGCCTCCCAAGCCCCTGTGTATTGCATATGCACCAGCTAACTGCCACTGGATGTCGTAGTGGCACCTCAGATGAAGCCTGTCATGATCTGAGCTCTCAGATGCCCTCTCAGCAATCTGGACCTCCCCTCATGCCTCGCCCCCTTCCGTGACTGGCATCATCCTGTGACCCTAACCCCAGCCAGAAGCCTGGCAGACATCTCTGCCCTTCCTTCTCCAAGCCCCCATCCACATGACCTCAAATCTTGGCAATTCTCCCCTTCTCTCCCTCCCCCACCCCAGTCACCTTCCTGATGCAGTTACCAGCTCTACCACCAGCCAACAAAGATTTCATCTGCCTCTAGCCTACCCACTTTTCCCTCCACCAAAGACGCATTAGCCACGCCAGCCAGCTCCCCCCACACAGCCAGGCCACCACACAGGCCAGCTGGCTCCTGCCATTGCCGCCAGTCATTGACCATGACAACCATGGCCTTTCTAGAACATCTGAGTATCTTTCTTATACACATTTAGAATGCTTGTCTGGGTTCTCCACTCCCCTTCCCTAAGATGGCCTAAGAGAGCCTGCATGGTCGCTTGTTCGATTCCTCATTCCAGCTACCCTGGCTGGGACTCACTGAGGCCCTTTGCACTCAGAGGCCCTTTGCACATCCTACTCACATTGGTTCAACATATACTTGTGAAACACTGGTTTGTGCCAGGTACCAAGCCAAGAAATGGGCCCAGCCTGGTTCCTGCCTCCTGGTGGTCCCATTCGGGGGGGGGGGGCTGGGGGGGGGGCAGGGCGGGTGGAGATATAAGAAATAAATGCACAAGTCAATTTCCCTACAGTGTTGAGTGTGATGAAGAAAATTAAAACTAGGTGATGTGAAAAGCATGAGTTAGGGACACTTCGAGTCAGTCAAGGTCACAAGAAAGAATAGGGCAAATGAGAGCCTCGGGGAAAGGATTTCAAGCAATGGGAACAGCACCTGCAAAAGCCCCAGGTGTGGAAGAATTTTATTCAGGACCAGCGGGGGGGGGGGGGGGGGGGGGGGCGGGGGCGGCGTGTGGCTGTGTGGTGGGTGTAGGGAGAGTGGTTTGAGATGGGCCTGGAGCCATGGCCGGGGCGAGGTGGATTTTGTTCCAGTGCAGGGGGAAGCCACTGGAGGTTTTAAGCATGAGAGTGACATCATCCGATTTATGCTTTTAAAAGATCACGCTGGCAGCTGTGTTCCTCCCTCTCACCACTGAATCCCCAGGGCCTAGCACTAGCCCTGGCCCAAAGGGAGTGTTCAAAATATGCCCTGAATGAATGCGTGCCCCGGACTTCCTGTGTGACCTGGAGATACTCACTTCTGTCTCCGGACCTTAGTTTTCTCACCCGAAAGGCAGTCGGTGGGGATTTCACGCCAGAGTGGGTGGGCCGGAGTGGATTTAGGTTTCCCGCCTTCCCATGAGGCCCCGAGACCCGAATCCCCCACTTCAGGAGACGAACTGAGGTGGGGTGAGGTGGGGGGGTGGCTCTCCCGGCGACCTCCTGGCAGCCGTAATGCGCGGCGGCCCCGCCCCTGCCTGGACCGAGGTCTGAAGGATGCTGCAGCCCCGGGGGCGGGACCCGCAGGCGATCCCCGGCGCCTCCCGTGCGGATTGGGTGCAGCGGCACCGGCGCCGCGCTATTGGTCGGTCCAGAAGCAGGGGCGGGGACCCGCTCCTGCAGCGCGGCGGCGGGGACACCGCCAGAGCCCGGGAAGCTGCTGCGGGGGTGATGGCCGCGCCGAGCCCGGGGCCCCGCGAGGTAGGTGCGGACCCAAAAGAGGACAGGAGAGGAAAGGGTTGGGGGTCAGGGTCCAGGCCTCCCCTCCCAGGGTAGCGCGGACACAGACCCCCAATCCAAGCCCCGGAGGGGTCCTGCCCTGGGCGGGGACCAGGACACGCCCCACAGGGGGCCGCAGGTATGCAGGGGAAGTCTGGCGGTTATCCCCAGAGAACTTCCTCAGTTTTCTCATCGCGAAAATGGAGGTGATTATAAAAGCTCCTCCTTCATAGGGCTGTCAGGAAGTCAGACTCTCAGCCAGTGCTGGGCACATGGTGGGTGCCCACTACTAATGGGTCAGCTGCTGCGAGCTCAGCTTCATGCTGACCCTCCGCTCGGCCTGGAGGAACTCCAGTCGAATAGATGCCCCCGTCCCTGGCGTCACAGCTCCTACTATCAAGGGTTCCTGGGCATGGAGCTCAAACTGCCACGAAGGAGTTATTATAGTTCTCATTTTACAGAGGAGAAAACGAGATGCAGAAAGGTTAGGTGACTTACCTAAGATCACACAGCTGGTGAGAGACAGGTTTGTCTGCGGAAAGCATTCTCTACCTACTGATAATAATAACCATCGTTCTATTCTGGGTGCTGACTGCATGCCAGGCACTGGGCGGCCCATCACAACACCCAGTGAGGTGGGTACCAGCATTCTCCCTATTTTGCAACCGAGGAAACGGAGACAGAGAGTGATAACAGGAGGGCTCACGAGTACCAGAGGTGGGACGCAAACCCAGGTCTTTCCCCTCTGGAATGCTTCTGTGTGCTCACTGCTTCTTGTGTTTCCTGCCACCAGGTCCTGGCCCCCTCCCCAGAGGCTGGATGCAGACCAGCCACCTCGACCTCTGGCCGCCGTGGCCTCCTCTGGCGTCTACGAGACAAGCAGGCTCGTCTTGGCCTGTTTGAGATCGGCCCGGGGCATGAGCTGCACCAGCTGACATGTATGATGCAGGCAGGGCTGTGGGCTGCCACTCAGGTCTCCATGGACCACCCACCCACAGTGAGTGGCTGATCTGTGCCATGCACCTCAACAGTACCAAGGGCAAGACTGCGCCGATGCCCTGTCTTGTTAATACTGCAGGACTGGGGATGAGAGGGCTATAAGAGGAGGAAATCAGGGGCTTGGGGTGCAGAGAGGGACATGCTGGGGTGGGGGCTGAGGCCAGGAAGCCACACAGCCCAGTGTGTGTTGGGGAGGTGAAGGCCCCCTTAACCCAGGTGGTTGGTGTGTGATCTAGTTGGGCCTCTTCTTCTTTGGGCCTCAGAGTCCCCATCTGTATAATGGGTAGGGGGGACTGTATTCCCTGGTCTCTGAGGCCCTCCTAGCTCTGCTAGGGTGCATGGCTGAGAAAGGACCCCACCCCCACCCTGCCAGCCTGGCCCATCCTCCCCGGAGCTCAGGCTGGGGCCAGGCTGGCTCAGCAGAAAGGGTCGCCCAACTGCAAGCTCAGCAGCTGGACGGAGCCCGAGCAAGCACGTGTGTTGTTTGTGTGTGTGCACACATGTGCACAGTGTGACCACAGCCCATAGGCCAAGTCCTGGCACATGGACCTAGAGGTCCAGGAAGAGTGTCGGAGCCCGACAAGAGGTCCTCTAACTCTCATCGCCTGCTGCCAATCTAACATGGCTCCCCAGTACTCAGCATGGCCTCAGGACCTTGCTGGCTCAAGTCCAAGAGCCAGCTGTCCAGCTGCATCCATACTCCATCCTTCCTTTACCTACTGCAACCACTTGGGCCCTCTTGCTCTTCCCGGTGGCCACCAGTGCTGTTCCCCCTGCTGTGAGCACCAGGCACGTCCTCTCCACCACCTTTCAGATTTCAGCTTAGAGGTCACCTCCCCCAGGAAGCCTTCCCTGATCCTGCCTCTCTCACACTGAGTCAGGCAGGTCCCTTGGCTTTAAGGCCATCCCCTTTCACTGGGATGGCCTCCGGCTTCACTTGGCCAACACGTGCATCTGGGTGAATGGGCCAGGCTCTGAGTTCTGGTGCTGGTTGGCTGGAGCAATCAGACTGTGGAAAGGGGGTGAGGCCAGAGGCAGGGCTCTTGGAGATCCTGGGGCTGAGACTTGCCCTGAACCCCTCCACCCCTCCCTGTAGGGACCACCCACCGAGGAGGATTTCTCCGAGGTCCTGACCCAGGTTCATGAGGTAGGAAGCCCAAGACTGCTGCACGGGAGGGGCGTGTACTGGTGTTCCTTCTCTGTCCTCGGTCTCCCCCTTCGTGCAGTGGGAGTGCTGACTTGCCTCAGGGCCTTGTGGGAAGGATGTGATTACCCTGACCCTCCCACGTTAGGGCCAACTGCACACACCTGGCCCCCGTGGACACTCTTGGGCCTGCTTTTCCTCCCCTGCAGGGCTTCGAGCTGGGCACCCTGGCCGGCCCGGCCTTCGCCTGGCTACGCCACTCCCTAGGCCTGGCTGAGGGAGACTATCAGGCGGCATTAGGCCCAGGTGGCCCCTACCTGCAGTTCCTCAGCACCTCCAAGAGCAAGGCCAGCTTCTTCCTGTCGTGAGCTGGCAGCAGGGGTGGGGAAGGGGTGGGAGTGTTGTTCTTGGGTGAAGGGGGGGGAGGCGGAGAAGAGAAACAGGATGGCAAGGTCGGGGAGGGCCAGGGGCAGGTAGGGATCAGACGGAGGAGGAGAGGGAGGACGGGAGGTGACAAGGGTGGAGGTGGGGAGACCTTCAACCTGGGCCTGGGGAGACAGATACACATTCGGGCAGAGGGCCTGATGGGGGCCGCTCCAGCCCTGCCTGACCAGTGACCTCTCCCTCCACCCCAGCCACGATCAACGCTTCTTCCTGAAGACCCAGCGCCGCCGGGAGGTGCGGGCGCTGCTCGCCCACCTGCCCCGCTACGTGCAGCACCTGCAGCGGCATCCGCACTCGCTGCTTGCGCGGTTGCTGGGTACGACCGGCCAGGAACCCGGGACTGCGGGGCTGGGGGAGGGAAGAGAGAGCTAAGGAGGAGGGTAGGGAGTGGGGCGGTTCCCGGGGGGAGGGGGGGGTGTAGGGGTCTGAGTCCGAGCCGGGCGGAGGGAACCGATCCGCCGGCCGCGGATAGTTCCGTGGGGAGCGTGTCCTAGATGTTCCTGTAGGGGAAAGGTGGTGTTTGGATGGGCGGGGCCTAAAGGGGGCGGCGTCGATTGACAGTCCCTTGTGGGGAGGGTATGTGGATGGAGTCACGCCTGAGGACCGCGCATCTCTGGGGCTGCCTAGAGCCGGGCCCAGTCGGGACCTCTACCCAAGCCGCGGAAGAGGTCTGGAGGGGCGGGCTCGGGAGGCGGTGGACCTCGAAGAAGGAGGCTGAGCCTAGCCTTGGGCTGGCCTAGGGCGGAGCCTAAGTGATGGGCCCAGGGGTGTCGAGTTTGGGGCCCCTCACCTGGCGCCCTCTCCCCTTCCAGGAGTGCACAGTCTGCGGGTGGCTCGGGGAAAGAAGGTGGGTGAGGCCGAGGCGAGGGGGCCGGGTCAGAGGGGGCGGCTGGAGGGTGAGATCCTGTCCTCCCTCACTCCCTACCCCCGTCCCCAGAAATTCTTCATCATCATGCAGAGCGTCTTCTATCCCGCCGGCCGCATCTCTGAGAGGTGAGTCGCCTCACAGGGCCCCGGCCCCACGCGGGACGTGCCACCTGCAGCACCCATCCCCCCCCAGATAGATGCGAAACTGGACTAATGGATCAGAGACGGTGCTAGGCACGACCAGCGTCTCTTGAGCACTCAGGATGCACTGGGCACTCGAGTCTTCGCATTCATTGCCTTCTTTATTCCAGAACGGTTCTGAGGGGCAGGTGTGGTTATCATGCCCATTTTATAGATGAGAAGCTGAGGACAAGGAGGGCCAGCTACTCTGCGAGGAACAGGGATTCGAACCCAGCCTCTTATTTCATGGCCTCTGTGCCTCCTAACCCCGACTCTGCCTGCAGGGTCTCCATTAGTGCTCCCCTGGGGCCACGGACTTCCTTCAAGCCCTCCTGGTGCTGCTGTCTAGGGTTGGATGCCTGTGTCTGGAACACCTCCAGGGATGACAGGGTGCTAAGAGGCAGGCACAAGCAGGGGTAAAGCCTGAACTGGGCTTCCAAAGGCCTGAGTTCAAATTCCTGCTCTGCCTTCTTTTTTTTTTTTTTTCTTAGTTTATTTATTTATTAATTTTTAAAAATATTTTATTTATTTTTGAGAGAGAAAGAGTGAGAGCGGGGAGGGGCAGAGAGAGAGGGAGACACAGAACCTGAAGCAGGCTTCAGGCTCCAATGTGATGCGGAGCTGGAACCCCCAAGCCTCGAGATCATGACCTGAGCTGAAGTCAGATGTTTAACCGACTGAGCCACCCAGGTGCCCCACCCCCACCCCCGCTCTATGCTTTACTTACTGTGTGGGCAAGTCAAAGAAAACTCTGGGCCTTTTTCTTCATCTGTGACATGGGGACAATAATGGAATGGGTTGTGCTGAGGATTTGAACATCCACCCAGTGGAAGCTCTTGTTTCTTGGTTCCCTGTGTGTGTCAGTCTGTGTCAACCTGAATTCTGTCATCCCCTTTCTGTCATACCCCCTCACAGGTATGATATAAAGGGCTGTGAGGTGAGCCGATGGGTGGAGCCAGCCCCTGAGGGTAGCCCTCTTGTCCTCGTGCTGAAGGACCTCAACTTTCAAGGCAAGACCATCGACCTGGGTGAGCCATGGGGACAGTCAGTGGCTGCTCTTTCTCCATTGCGGGTGAAGTCAGAAGGGTGTCCCTGGCCTGCCCTCTGCCTGAGTCATTAAGAGCCCAGGGTCTAGAGTCAGGCAGAGCAGAGTTCAAATCCTAGCTCCACGACTTACTAACTAGGTGACCAGGGCAAATTACAGATCAGTTTCCTCATCTGTGATGTGGGGCAGTAATGACACCTGCCCTCTTGGGGCAGATATGTGTGGAGCCCTCAGCACCTTGCCTGGCACACGATGAGCACTCAGGTGGGGGCACTGATGCTCTGGCAGGGCCCCAGCGGAGCTGGCTCCTCCACCAGATGGAACTGGACACCGCCTTCCTCCGGGAGCTCAACGTGCTGGATTACAGCCTTCTGATGGCCTTCCAGCACCTCCACGAGGATGAGAGGGGCCCGGGCAGCAGCCTCATCTTCCGCACAGCCAGGTGGGCCCCCCTACAGGGCAAGGGCAAGAATGAGGTGACGGGAGCCTGAGAACGATGGGTGGTGAGGTGGGAAGACAGTACAGACAAAGGCTCAGAGACTGGAAAGTGCAGTGTTTGTGTGTCCGTGTGTGCATGTGTCCACGTGTAGGGTGAAGGACTGGAGAAGCCTGGCTGGCAGGGTGGGGGGACACATGCGGACAGCAGCAGAGGACAGAACAGGGGAGATCCAGCTGGACAAGGACTTCGGTGCTGATTTAAAGAATCTGCCCACTTTCCTGAAGGGGTGTGGAGCCATGGAAGATTTCAGAACAGTTTTCAGACCTATTTAATTTTTACTTTAGAAGGAGCCCTTGCCCTTTAACCCAGTAATTCTACTTCTAGGACCCTGGGGTCATCACCATGGGCACCATCACCATGGTGTCCCCCTGCCTTGTAGTAGCAACTGTTCTTTGCATGCTGGCCACGAGCCTCATTAAGGTGGGCTCCTTCCCATTTTAGAGACGTGATAAGTGAGGTTCAGAGACGGGAAGTGAGGTTGTAGAATGACTTCTGAGGATTCATGTTAGTCCTAGGTTGGTTGCTTTGATTTCAATCCTCCGAGGCCCACCTTTGTGACTGAACAGGATTAAGTAGGGGTTAAGGAAGGCACATTCAGGAAAGAAGCCCAACCATCTGGTGGGTGGAAAAGAAAAGTGAAAGATGATGTCCTCTCATCTGGCCTCCGAACCCACCCTTTGGAGGAAGACCTTGGGATGGGTGAGGCTTGGGCAGAACCCAGATTAACGGCTCCCCACAGCCCTGTGGCTGGCCTGACCACATCCTGACCAGAGGGTGAAATTCCTGCCATGGGGCACAGACGGGTCCCCAGCCAAGTCTGCCCATCCAAACTAGGTCAGCTTCTGCCTTGCCCTCTGCCCCCATCTGGCGCTTAGATTACAGCTGTCATTCAGCCAGTAAACCCTAGTTTGCATATAGTGGTTGTTGTCATATTGAAATTTGCTAGCTGGTAAGTTGCCACTGTTCCAGCCCCACTCCTACCAGTTCCCAGCCCCCCATTCAGAAAAAGACCGCGCCCCGCCCCCTCCCAGCACCGCACCGCACCGCAATGCAAAGGACACTAGCGGTTTGCCCAGTCTCCCACACCACTGGGTTCTGATTGGTCGATGCCTGGGCAGGGCCTGTCTTTCATTGGCTTATTTCCCTCCGCGACACTTCCCCAACTTCCCTCCACCTCCAAGAGGACGAAATAGGGAATTGAACCTGCTTTGGGCTGGGACTGGGACCCAGCCAAAGGCATCTTCGGATTTGGAATACATTTGGAAGGCATCCCATCCCCCAACACACACATCATCTATAAACCGGAATTGGACTTTGTTCACAAGGTTTCTTTCAGCTCTGCCACCCCGAAACCTCCAGAGATGGACGACCCCAAACAGAAGTTTGGGAAATACCCCAACACCAGACTTGCCCAAAGTGACCCGGCGGATAAAATGCAGAGCCAGGGTCTGCGTGACCCAAATGCTCTAGACAACAGAAATGTAACGCGAATCACACATGTGGTTTTAAATTGTCTAGCAGCCTCTTTAGAGAAGTAAAAAGAAACAGGTAAAACTAATTGTAAGAATATATTTGTTACTCAATACACCCCAAATTTTATCGTTTCATCATCTAATCAATATAAACATTTATGAGGTATTTTACATTCTTTTTCTCATACTGTCTTGGAAATTCAGTCTGTATTTTACTCTTAGAGCGTATCCCAGTTGGGACTGGCCGCAGTTTAATGCTCAACGGCCACATATGGCTAGTGGCTACGTATTGGACAGTGCGACTCTAGACCATCATCCACACTTTACTCGGCCTCCCAGTTCATCTGACGTCATAGGCCTGGCACACAGGAGTTGTGGGAATGAGCGGAGGAAGCGCAGGGTCAGCGCAGAATCACCGCGGGCGCGCCGGGGCTAGGCTTGCGGGAACCCTTTGGCTGGGGCCCCCCTGGAGGAGGCAGTAGCCTCACCCACCTGTCGGCCGCCAGGTCTGTGCGAGGGGTACAGAGCCCGGAGGAGCCGGAATCCCAGAACCGCCGGCTGCTGCCCGACTCCCCCAACGCCTTACACATCCTGGACGGGCCGGAGCAACGCTATTTCCTGGGTCTCGTGGATCTCTCTACGGTCTACGGGCTCCGCAAGCGGCTGGAGCATTTATGGAAGACGCTGCGCTACCCAGGTCGGACCTTCTCCACCGTCAGCCCCGCTCGCTACGCCCGTCGCCTCTGCCAGTGGGTGGAGGCTCATACCGAGTGACCCGCGCCCGTTGCTCTCTCGCATCTGGACAATGGGCACACGCCGGGAACCAGGGTTCCAGTCTGGCCCCGGCGGCGGGTCGGCCTCCCTTCACCTGCTGTTCCTCCCTTTGGCCTCCAGAGGGCAGCATCCCCTAACTAATACCATGACAACACAGCCTCATTTGGTGGTGATGACTGGTTCGGCGTTGTGCCAGGGACTCCCCAACATTAGCTCGATTAATCTTCAAAAAAAAAAAAAAAAAATGCTATTATTCTCTTTTTACAGACCATGAATTGGAGGCTCAGGGGGTGAAGGTACTGAGCAAGATCATTCAGCAATAAATGCTGGAACCAGGACTCGACTATGCCTTTTGGACTCAGGAGCCTGTATTCTTACCCACCAGCTCCCTTAGCCCTGTCTTCATGCTCTGGGGAATGGTGTAGGCTGAAGGCTCCAGCCAAGCCCCTTTGTCGTCCAGATGGGGAAACTGAGGCCCAGAGACTTTAATGGGCTTACCCATGGGTAAGTGGAAAGGCCAGCCCAAGATCCCAGGTCTCCTTACCTCCTGTCCACCGGCCTTTTGGGGTGGTTCCTGTGGCTCCTGCTTCTCCAGGGATGCAGGCAGGAGAAGGGGAGGTTTTGGGGGGCAGCTGCATCTCTGGAAGACACTATGTTAGGACCCACCATTGATCTTGAGCTTGGGCTCAAGCTCAAGCTTGAGCTTGGGCTCAAGCTCCACCATTGAGCTTGATCTTGGGCTTCTTCCTTCCTCTGGAAGTCACTCTTCTCATCTGTGAAAGGGGGACAGGGGTTGGTGGTAAGACCAAGGGCCTGGACGCGCAGACAATACCAGCAGCAAAGAAGCACAGTGCGTGCACAGCCCCTGATCATCCCTTCTCCTTCCTCCAGGAACCTCCAGCCTGGCCTCTGACCCTGGCCCAATCCAACCATACCCAAGTGGGCTTCTCCTCTAGAGCTGCTCTGGGGCCTGGCTGTGTGACCAGGGCAAGGTGCTAGCCCTCTCTGTGCTTCAGTGGTCGAATCTGTAAAATGGAAAGGATGAAAGTGGACTTTGTTAACTCATTAAATATTTATTGAGCACCTACTATGTGGCAGGCCCTCTACTGGGTGGTAGGGACTTGGGGAGCAAGATCCACAGATTCCACAGATTCCACAGTTCTCTCCCTCACAGAACTCACAGTCTAGGGAGAGATTGTGACAAAAGCAGCCCAGTGTGACAGAGCCTCATGAGGGAGCATGGGGCCATGGTGCTGAGGGAAGGGGCCTCCACCTAGCAACTTGACTCTAACGTTTTAACTGAGACCAGAAGAGTCCGATGCAGCCCTGGGAGTCAGGCCAAGGTCATGGCAAAGGTCTGGGGTGAGAGAGAGCGCCTGACACTTGAGAGAGAGAAACATCTCACTGTGGGAAGGGACAGTGTGTTGGTGGTGGGATTTTGTGGGCCAGGAGCTGACCCCCCAGGACTGGAGCTTGACCTTGGGAAAGCCCTTCAGCCGATACCAAACATTGCCATTCCACTAGCCTTTAGAGGAAATGAAGAAAAATGGTGGGGAGGGAAGGGAGAGGGAAGGGAAGTTGAATGCCACCGCCCTGGAGTGTGGGCTTCTGGAATGCGTGTACAAATGTCCTCACCCCTAGTTGTCTGGGTGACCTTGGGTGATATTCAACCTCTCTGAACTGGCACAAGCCACAGAGAATTTCGTGTTTGGGCTCAGCAGGAAGTTGAGACATGGAGGCCTTAAGGTCATCACTCAGGAGGTGGGTGGGTTGAGGAAACTGTGGCTGTGGGGCAGCACAGAAGGTTTGGCCCTACATTTCCCCTGGGTCTGACAGGACTGGAGCCTGAGAGTCCTGCACTCATAGATAAGCATGACTCAGCCCCTCACCTAGCTGGGGTCTTTCACAATGGGCTAAGCCAGAGCCTGAGGCTGGAGAGCGACATGACTTATCCAAGATCTCACAGGGCCCAGGACTCCTGGTTGTCCTAAATTGCTCATTCAACAGACATGATCTAGCACATCGTGCTGGATGATTACTATGAAAAAGACCAATCAAGGTGAAACTTAGAGGGATGGGCATGCAGTGTCACATAGAGTAGTTGGCCAGGGCCTTTCTGAAGAGGTGACAGTTGAGCTGAATGGCCGGAAGGAGCTGGCTATGTGAATAGAGCAGTCCAGGTAGAGGATACAGCAAGTGCAAAGGTCCTGAGGTAGGAATGAGCTCAGTGTGATTGGGGGTCAGAAGGGTGACCAGGGTGAGCAGATGGTGATTAAGAAGAAAGCAGGAGTTCAGACTGTACAGGGCCTGGTAGGTCAGGATAAAGAGTGGACTTTTGCAAAAACCAAGTTGAAGAGCTTTATCTGAGCCTGCAGGACTTCCCGGTGTCAGTTCTACTGTGGATTTATGATTCTCATCTGCTCTGGGAGCCCAGGACATTTGGGCACATCCTTGTTTCCATGTGGCCAGGAGGGTGTTGCCTCTTTAGAGAAAGAATCCTCACATCAGGTCACCAGCCATTGTGGGTAATGAATGGATCTGTAGGGAATTTCTCACAACTGTCCCCTTAGGGTTGAGTCTATGAGGAAGAGAAACGTGAAGGATGAAGACTGGGGGTCAGGGGCAGAAGGACTCAGGCTTTGTGTGCCTGGCCTTGTGTGAATGGGAGACCACAGAGAGAGTTTGAACTTGGGCCACCACCCTTGAACTATGCCCAGGCTAGGGTGCAGGGACAAAGTAGGCCCATGCTCAAAGGAGGCCCAGGGACAGGGCTTGCCTCAGCATGCCCTCCCCGCAATAGGATGGGGAGAGTCATGGCCGACTTGGTTTTGCACCTGAGCAGGTAGCCTTGGGAAGTTGCTGATCTGGGTGTGGATCAGAACGTGGGTACCTTGGCATCGTGCCCACGTCAGAGCCTTTGAGAAAAAGGTGAATGGAGTTTGAAATGGGGTCTGAGCAGGAACCTAGCCTGGGATCCCAGGGGAAGGCCCCATAGAGGGAGGTGGGTGTGGTGGAGGTGGTAAGACCTCCATAGGTAAGACCTTTATGCTGGCCCATAAAGCATTATATATATATATATATATATATATATATATATATATATAAATGCTTCAGATGGAAAATGTGCCCTCTACTTCACCACAGGCCCACTATTCCCTATTGCCCCATATCTGCTCTTTCGACCCTTTGTGGCTCCTGACCGTGCTAGAGTTTGAAATCCCCAAGGGACCCCATTTGGGCCTTCAAATGGAACACATTGCAGCCTCTGTGGGGGTGCAACACCGAGTTGGTTGGGGTCTGGAGGACACTTTGGGAGGGGGTGTTTGGGAGGTGAAAATAGGTGGCCACTACGTGGCAGTGAGACTGCCCTGGGTTCGAATCCTAACAGTGTCACAGCTGCTCTGCACTGTACCACTGGCAGGTAGGTGCTGTTATTATCCCCACTTCATAGAGGAGAAAAACTGAGGCTCAGGTGTAGGTCACACCACCAGAGACAGTCCAGCTAGGGTCGACAGAGAAAATATAAGACGCCCCGTTACACCGGAAAGTCAGATTTTTAATACAATTATACCCTGTTTATCTGAAATTCCAATATAACTGAGTGTCCTGTATTTTACTTGCTAAATCTGGCAACCCTACCCGCTTGAAACCCAGGGCTGCTTGACCCCAAGCCCCTGCTTAATTTTCCTACCCACCCCCCCAATTTCAGAAATGGAGAAACCCAAGTCCGGAAGGCTAGGCAGCCACGGAGGCGCCCTGGTTCCCACCCCCGCTGAGCCTTTTCTCTCGGATCCCCGGCAGGAGCTTGGGAGAAACGTGGTTGGGCAGAAAAGGGGAGATGCGGGAGCTCCGGCTCCGCCCACGGCCTGCAGGCCCCGCCCCCATCCCGGAGGCCCCGCCGCCAGCCACGCACTTCCCTCCCCAGCCGCGCAGGCGGTGCTCGTAGGTCCCGCCTCCCTCTTCCCGGGCTCCGCCCCCAGCGCGCCTGTCTCCTCCCCGTCCTCGCAGACCCCGCCCCCGCTGCCGGCGGCGCACGTTCGGTTTCCAGTCTCCAGAAGCCGCGGCCGCGGTGCCGCCTCCGCCCCGGGGCTCAGGCTTCCAGCCCGGCCCGCCCGGTTTGCGGGCCATGGAGCTCCGAGCAGTGGATCGAGAACAGCCGGAGCGCCCCAGCCTACCCGTCTGGTTAGCTCCCGGCCGGGGGAAGGGGCGGTGGAATCTGGGAGAGGGGTGGAAATCTCTCGTCCTATCCCGCCTCAGGCCTCTCCGTTTCTCCCGCCCGTAGGGAGGTAGGAAGGATGGGGAGGCAGTCGGGGCTCCAGGCTGCTGGTTCTAACTGACCCAGACTCGATGGGTGACCTTGAGCCGAGGGCTCCCCCTCCCTGCCTCTCTTTCTCCATCTGCACAATGGGGATTGGGTTGGTTTGAGGTTTCCCGAAGGTCACCTGATACCAGGTCTTTTAGGATGCGGACAGCGCTGTCCGGTGTTTGGGGACTTTAAGGCGTTTGACTCCCGAAAGCCATTTGCCTTGACCCTGGCCCCATACCCTTCCCTGCCTCAGTTTCCCTGGGCAGGTTCCTCAGGGGCCTGGGACCTAGCTCTGAGTTTCTGGATCTTGGCAGGTGCCTGGCTGCCACCCCTTCCCAGCCTGAGCCCTGGAGACAGCAGCCCCCAGGCTGCTGAGCAGCGGCAACAGCATGAAGGCTCCGGTAAGTGGTGGAAGGAGGAAGGCTCTTGGGGAACTTCCGGCACAGCAGCCTCATAGCCTCTCCCACCCCAGCACTGACTCACTTTTGACCCACTGCTCCTGAGCTGAGAAGGGGAGACTGGCCTCAAAGCCCTGCCTGATCTGGCAGGCTGTGTGGCTTCAGACAAGTGGTGTTCCCTCTCTGGTCTCAGTGCCCTGTGCGCCTCCCCTGTAATGAGGAGATAACAGTACTACCTCTTGTGGGTATCCCCTAGGTCACCCAGGTGAGGCACCCACCTGGGAGGGGGATATGGTGCGAAAGTTCAGTTTAGCTGCCCTCAACTTTATTTAGGAGCTGCTGGTTGTGGGAGAGGACCCTGGATGTTGTGGGGAGTCCACCACCCCTGCCTGAATCCTGGTCTCTGGGCCCCTTGTGGGCAGGGGACCAGATGCCGGGCAGAGCCTGAGGCCTCAGGGGCTGAACCCCCTCCCCCGCACAGCTGGCCACAGACAGATTTATTTTTAGAAGCTGATGTGGCTTGTGGGCAGAGAAGGGTGGGCCTCCAGCAGGATATGCCCTGGGAGGGGGGCGGGGGCGGGGAGCTGCATTTCCCACCTCCGATTTTCAGAGTACCAGCCAGCTGCTGGGTGGGTTCTGCGGGCCAGCTGAGGGACCTCTGCCTTGGGCGGGCTGGGAGAATATTAGAGCCCAGAGAGACACAGATGGTGACCAGGGTGGCCCAGCACATGACAGCAGCCGCAGGTCGTGCCCCCTGTCGGGGCTCTTCGTTGAAAGGCTTGGTGGGGGCACTCCCTCAGAGGGCCAGCGGGCCCCCGGAGGGCGTCCTGCTTCACGTGGCCTTTGGCACATGTTTTCTGGAGGTGGGAGCCTCTGAACCAGCAGCTGTCAATTACTGAAACCATTTCTTGAGTGACACTTCCCTTTCTGCCATCCTCCTTACTCACCTGGGCTGCTGATCCAGATCCGGCACCAAGTCAGCTGGGGGAGGGGACAGGGGATGGGCACCCTGGCGGCCCCAGTCCAAGGTCTGAAGGAGGAGGGTTTGCCCTCCTGAGGGGCCACTCTTGCGTCTTCTTGTGCACATTATAGTCTACACAGCACTGTTACCGCTGGCCTCACGGTGAGCTCACAGGTGCTACGGGCCCTGAGTTTTTAGAAGAGGAAGCAGGTCCAGAGGGGTGGAGAGTTGCACCCAGGGCTACAGAGTGCACCTAGGCTTCTGGTTAAGAGTATGTGCTCTGCAGCCTGGATTGAAGGGCCCATCCTGTTTCCATGCTGTGTGGCCTCGGGTTTTCATCCCGGATCCCTTATCTAGAACATGGGAGGAATAAAAGGGCTTGTCTCCAGGGCCTGAGCAGCCCAGAGGAAGCCCTGGTTAACTCTGGGCTCTGCTGATGTTCTGGAAGCTACCGAGCTGGGGTTTGGACCCATGAGGCTGGAGCATGGCACCCCAGCATAAGCTTCTAAGAGGAGCCCCAGGGACACCCCCCGCACACACCCCATGACTGTTTGTCTCCCCCAGGGTCGGCTCCTGCTTGTCATCCTGTGCTCCTCGGGCTTCTCAGCTGCCTACATCCTGCTGTGCTGCTGGGCCTGCCTGTCCTTCTGCCTGGCCCCCTGCCTGGACCCCCACCCGTCCACCAACTCCAGGCCCACTGTGCCAGGGCCCCTGCACTTCAGCGGATATAGCAGCGTGCCAGATGGGAAGGTGAGCTGGCCGGACAACATGTCGAGACAGGCCGGCCAGGGTGCCCCCTACTCTCTGGGCATAAGTGAGAACCAGGCGCGTGCCAGGCCAGCCTGGACCCCAGGCTTGGCCCCTCTGCTCACCAGCTGTGTGACATTGAGCAGTCACTACACCTCTGTGAGTCCCAAGTTCTAAGAGGAAGTGGATTTATTTTTTTTTTATTTTGTAATTTTTTTTTTTTTTTCCAGAGAGAGAGAGAGAGAGTGAGCACGAGCAGGGGGGAGGGACAGAGGAAGAGGGAGAAAGAATCTTAAGCAGGTTCCACACTCAGTGTGGACCCCAGTGTGGGGGCTCAATTCCATCATCCTGGGATCATGACCTGAGCCAAAATCGAGAGTCGGATGCTCAACCAAATAAGCCACCCAGGCGCTCTAGAAATGTTTTTGCTTTTGTTTTTTAATTGAATAAATATTGTCTGGCTGCTCTCAGCTGGGTGCTGGAGGTAAAATAGGTGAGTCGGCCAGGGTGCTCACCCCTGGAGCTCACCCCTGGAGCTCCCAGTCTGGTGGGGGAGACAGACACCTTCACATCGTGGTGATCTGTGTATCATTCTGTGTATGTATTTTAAAAAATTTTTTTTTAATGTTTGTTTTTGAGAGAGAGACAGAGACAGAGTATGAGCAGGAGAGGGGCAGAGAGGGAGGGAGACACAGAATCTGAAACAGGCTCCAGGCTCCGAGCTGTCAGCACAGAGCCTGACGCGGGGCTCGAACCCACGAACTGTGAGATCGTGACGCTTAAGCGCCTGAGCCACCCAGGTGCTCCTGTCTTTAGATGTAACTATGTTTGCACATAAGCCATTCATTCGGCAAGTGTGTATTTGGTGCCTTGGATGCGCCCTGTCTTGTGCTGATGATCGCTGCTGGGGATGGAGATGATAGAAAAAGTCATGTCAGCCCCAGACCTTTCCCTCTCGTGGGGCTACGGGGACACTGGAGCTCAGGGGTGATGAGGCAGCTTTGGCCCCTGCCCCATGACGCCCCCCTCCCCATGCTTGCTCTGCCAGGTGCAGATTGGAGTACGTTATACCCCTCACCCTGATTTCAGTGGCCCCCCGTAGTAGCTTTCTCAAAGGCATCCCATACTGACACCCAGCACAGAAAGCTCCTGGCTCTGAGTCTGATGGCTCTCTGAGCACAAAGGTCAGAGGGAGGCATGTTCAGGGACCCTGGCTCGGAGGAGACATATTTTGGGCCTTCATTTCTCTGAGCCTTGGTTGCCTCCTCATCGGTAACTTCTACCGATGAATCAAGAATCTTCTGGTTTCTACCTCTGTAGAGTTGCTCTGCTGATCTAACTGGGTGATCTGTGGCCAGTGTTCACAACAGGTGCCATGTAAATATTTGATCAAGATGTAAAACCACTGGGGGTTTGGCCACATGGGACAAGAGGTGGGGTGGGCTGGGTAGATGCTGTCCCATCTTCCGTGGTGGTGGCCAGTGTTTATTTCAGACACTCGAGCTCATTCGGATATGGGCTCGAGGTGGCCAGATCCTCTGGGTTTCTTAAGAGAAGCCAGAAATCCAGGTTTTGGATATCCGGAAAAAAATCTGATTGCAGTTAAATAGTTTAAAGCCTTTGCGTGGGACAAGCTGAATATCTCCTGGGGCTAGCAGTGACCTCAGATCTGAATAGACCACAGTGGGCAGGATAGGCTCAAACTGTGGGCAGAATAAAGGAATCGTGCTGTCTTTTGGAGGCATGGAAAATGGGCCTGTGAGTCCCTAAATCAACATTAGGTCTGATATAAAATATCTCAGAGAGGAATACGGGACCATCGTAAACCCGTGTCCTCTCGGGAGGGCATGGAGACATGGGGTGGGGAGCAAGTCTTTTTCGGGACCCCTGACTCCTGACCGCCAATGAACATTTGTAGACATGTTGGCTCAGCTTCAGCTTCTCGGGGGATAATGAGATGGTTGGGCCCTCGCTGTCCTCTGGGTCTGGGCTAATCATTCCCCAGGCAGTTTTATTTTATTTTAATTACTATTTAAAAAAATTGTTTTAATGTTTATTTATTTTTGAGAGAGACCGAGCATGAGTGGGGGAGGGGCAGAGAGAGAGGGAGACACAGAATCCGAAGCAGGCTCCGAGCTCCGAGCTGTCAGCACAGAACCCAATGGGGCTCAAACTCACGAACCCTGAGATCATGACCTGAGCCGAAGTCAGACACTCAACTGACTGAGCCACCCAGACGCCCCTAATTATTATGTTTTTATGAGAGAGAGAGAGAGAGAGAGAGAGAGAGAATGCACGTGAGTGGGGGAGAGGGGCAGGGAGAGAGAGGCAGAATCTCAAGCAGGTCCCACGCTCAGTGCAAAGCCCCACTCGGGGGCCTGATCCCACAACCCTGGAATCAGGGCCTGAGCCGAAATCAAGAGTCAGAGGCTCAACTGACTGAGCCACCCAGGCGCCCCTCCAGGCATTTTTAATTGAGTCCTCTCACAACCTGGTCAAGTAAATGCTATTTTCATCCCCATTTGACAGATGAGGAAACTGAGGCTCAGAGAGACAGAGGAAGTGGCAGAACCAGGATTCAGGCTCCGAGCCAGACGTTCTCAATGTTGTGAAACCCTAAAGACTAAAGACCCTTCTTTTACTTACAAACCGGGCACAACATGAGTGGGGCTCAGGCAGAGGAGGGAGTGGCCTAAGAGTCATTGTGAAGAGCCGAGGTTCACGTTTACTTAACAAGCACATATATGACCCCTGGTACCAGTGTGTGCTAAGTACCGCTTCAAGTGCTTTATAAATGTTTGCTCACGTAACCGTAATAAAGAACCCACGATGGGGCGCCTGGGTGGCTCAGTCGGTTGGGCGTCCGACTTCAGCTCAGGTCACGATCTCGCGGTCCATGAGTTCGAGCCCCGCGTCGGGCTCCGGGCTGATGGCTCAGAGCCTGGAGCCTGCTTCTGATTCTGTGTCTCCCTCTCTCTCTGCCCCTTGCCCGTTCATGCTCGGTCTTTCTCTGTCTCAAAAATAAATAAACGTTAAAAAAAAAAAACAAAAAAAACCCCACGATGGAGGGCGTATTAGGGCCTCAGCAATAGGGAAAAGGGACATGAAGGTGGCCGATGAGGAAGCATGGGGCTCTGAACGCAGAGTCTCAGCCCTGCCACTTGCTATCCATGTGACCGTAGGAAAGTCACTCCCCCGGCCCAGCCTCAATTTCCTTATCTGCAAAATGGGTTGACGCCGTACTTGCAGCTGATACAGGGGCCATGTGAAGGCGGTGGCTGTTACCGGGTGGAGGGACGGGGATGTGGGAGCTGTGTGCTCATGCCTTTCTCTTCCTCTCTGCCTCTCCCTGCAGCCGCTGGTCCGAGAACCATGCCGTAGCTGTGCCGTGGTGTCCAGCTCCGGCCAGATGCTGGGCTCGGGCCTGGGCGCGGAGATCGACAGTGCCGAGTGCGTGCTGCGCATGAACCAGGCACCCACCGTGGGCTTTGAGGCGGACGTGGGCCGGCGCAGCACCCTGCGCGTGGTCTCGCACACGAGTGTGCCTCTGCTGCTGCGCAACTATTCCCACTACTTCCAGCACGCCCGTGACACGCTCTACGTGGTGTGGGGCCAGGGCAGGCACATGGACCGGGCGCTGGGCGGCCGTACCTACCGCACACTGCTACAGCTCACGAAGATGTACCCGGGCCTGCAGGTCTACACCTTCACGGAGCGCATGATGGCCTACTGCGACCAGGTCTTCCAGGACGAGACGGGCAAGAACCGGTGAGCCTGGGGCCGGCCTGCGGGGGGTCTCCCTGCTGGCTGGGGACCTGCCTTCTCAAGCCGCTTCTTGTCCATCACGGGTCTGCTCCACCGGGCGCTGGGGTTCAGCAGTGAGGGAGGCAGACGTGCTCCCGCCTCTGATGGGGGACAGAATCAGAGACTGTCGTTCGTCGAGTTAGCACATAGATCAAAAAGCCCCTACGGTGGCCGGCCTTACGAGCACAGGCTGGGGAGCACTGCCGCGGGGAGCGGTGTCGGGAGCTCTGGCCTCGGGAGGGGATACTCCCTGAGATCTGAACTGGCCTCTGAAGTCCCTGCCAGATGACAGAAGTAGCAGTGACGGTACAAACGGCCCTCTTCCTGCACCAGGCACTGCCTTAAGCCCTCTGCGTTGAGGATCTCCTTTCATCTCACACTCAGACTCCTCCCAGCCTCCTCCTCCACACGCTGGCTCCTCCCACCCCCACCACAGCTCTGGAAATCCGGCCGCCAGCCTCCAGTTTCCCAGCCAGAGACCTGGGCTTTGTACCCGCCTCCTTTCATTCCATCACCTGCGGCATATGGTGGCCTCTTGACTCTCCTGTGCCCACAGGTGCCACCTGGACCCGAGCCACCATTACGCCCCAGCCTCCGCTGCGCTTGTAGCAGCCCCTTGCTGCCGCCACTCTTGCCCCCTTGCAGTCTGAGCGCCAACCGCCTGCAACCTGACGGAGGCTTCCCTTCACGTGGAGAATAAAGTCCAGGCTCTCGTCCCTCCCCTCCCCTGGCCTGTAAGCCTCCTACGAGGCCCGCCTCCGTGATCTCATCATCTCCCTTCTCTCAACCTGCCCGTCCTCTGGGCCTCCTCACATCTCTACACTGGTTCTCACCTGCAGGGCTCATACATGTTTTCCCTCCGTCTAGAATGTTCTCCTCTCACGCCTCCCTGTGACTGACTCCTTCTTGCTATTCAGGTCTGGATGGGATGTCACCTCATCAGAGAAGCCCTCCATGACCACCCCGTCTGAAGGTGCCCTTCCCTGCCTGACATTCTTTGTCCCCTTCTTGTCTCAGCATTCCTGGCCCTCCCTTGAGAATGTTAGCACCGGCCATGGCAGGTTCCTAGCCACCCAGTTTGAAAGAGTGAGCCACCCCATAACCCTTCTGTCAAGGTGGATGTGAGTAGCCCTCGTCTGGGAGGGTAACCAGTGCCGGTGCATTGAGAGAGTTGAGCCCTGGGCCGCCCACACAGTCCCTCGCTCCCAGTTGGGTGTGGGGACCAGGGGAGGTGCTGAGCTGACAGTGTTCCCTCCCCATAACTACCTATATAATTCTCCCCATTCCACAGATGGGTCAGTGAGGCTCAGAGAGGTTTGTGAGCAAAGCTGATACCCTAGGGCAGATGTAGGGTTTGAATTGAAGACCAACTTGAATTCAGACAGGGGTCTTCCCCACTCTCACCCGCTGTGCTCAGTGGCCTCACATGATCGTCTCGGGGTTTGCTCAAGCCCCTTGTGGGTGGTGAGGGGCTGAACAAGCCTGGGTTGGCGTCCAGCTGCACCTCTTTCCTGCTGCTGATCTCGGGCTGGCTCTGTCCCCTCCCCAGCCTTCCCCAGGGCCCCCTCTGTAGGGGTCAAGGTGAGGGCCCTTGGCTGGGAGAGTGACCAGCGCTGTGCCTGGAGACAGCTGAGGCTGGGCCTGTCGCACAGCCCCTTCCTTGCTCAGACCCGCGTTGGGGAGGGACGCGGCTGCGCTGACTGTGCCCCTTCCCGCCAGGAGACAGTCCGGCTCCTTCCTCAGCACCGGCTGGTTCACCATGATCCTCGCCCTGGAGCTGTGCGAGGAGATCGTGGTCTACGGAATGGTCAGCGACAGCTACTGCAGGTCAGGCCAGCCGGGTCCTAGGCGGGAGGAAAGGCCGGGGCGGGGAGGACCGTGGGCCCCCTGTCCTGGCCTCACCCTGGGGGAGCTTGGGGCACGGGTTGTGTGGGCTCCCCCGTGGGCGGCTGAGGCTCAGACACCCCTGGGGCCCAGGGCCTCCCTTTCCTCATATGTAAAAGAGAGAGCGATCACACCTTCCCCAGAAGGTTGTAGAAACGTTTAGAGAGAGAATAAATCTACCGAGGTGCTCAGAAGGGCATCATCAGGCACCAGCTGCGTCGAAGCTGTTGCCGTTGATATCACAATAGTTCAGTATTATTGTAAGGAACATGTGCACAAGGGACAAGACGGGCCCCGGGTCTTTGTTTTCTGTTCTCTTGGAGCTTGCTTGGTGAGCACGTGGGCCAGATGACAGCCCATGTGCGCCCTCTGCCATGGCCCCGGGCCAGACGGCCAGTGTGCACGGTGCTGACGAGCGGGTGGGGGTGCAGCTGCGGGGACTGACGGGACGCTCACCGGAAGCCCAGAACCCGCAAGGCACTTTGCAATCTTACATCTTTTTGACCCGTGGTCTCAGGTGACCGTCTGCGTTTTACAGACAGGTTATTTATGCTCACAGAGTACGTCTCCAGCCTAGAAGCGGCCAGCTTGCAAGAGCCAGAGCCAGGGTCAAACCCTGGCCCGTGGGATCCGTGGGCTGCCCTGCGCCTCCCCTGTCTGTCCTGACCTTCCCCGGGACCAGGCATGGGGGTGCTCCGGCGGGGAGTCCCTGGTGAGGGGCTGGTCGTGGTAGGTGGCAGGGTGTGGCGGGAGGCAGGCGAGCTTAGGTGCCCCACGCCTGTCCCTCTTCCCCACCCGCAGGGAGGAGAGCCACCCCTCGGTGCCTTACCACTACTTTGAGAAGGGCCGGCTGGACGAATGTCAGATGTACCTGGCCCACGAGCGGGCGCCCCGCAGCGCCCACCGCTTCATCACTGAGAAGGCCGTGTTCTCCCGCTGGGCCAAGAAGAGGCCCATTGTGTTTGCCCACCCATCGTGGAGGACCCAGTAGCCCCATCGCCTAGCCAGCCACAAGGCCCTCACTGGGCCTCTGTTCCACACTCCACCGGAAACATTTAATTTATGGATCCTGTCTCCTGCCACATGCCTAGTGGACCTAAGGTCCCTTCTGGCCCTACCCTGGGGACACTTGGAGCCATCTTAGGCCTCCCGACTTGAGGGGAGAAGAGGAGGACTGTGGTGACCTTTGCAGCCCTTCCCTGCACCCCACTTTCTGAGTAATCCAAATCTTCATTTTGGGGTTCACCCCCCCCTCTGGGTCTGTCCAGTGGCCTTTGCCCCCGGGGCTGATGGCCCCTCAACTCACCAGCATTGTGATCTTCGATCTTTCAACAGCCCTGGTCCTTCTTCACTGTCCCCCCTCCACCTGCCTTTGGTGCCACATTTCCCAGGCTGGAGCTTGGGGTTCGTTGGGCAAAGGGGCCTTTGAACTGTGACTGCCAGGGCCACCTCTGGAGTGTACGGGTAAACATGTGTTTTCTGGAAGCCTGTCTGAAGTGTGGTCATGTGTCTGGGGGTAGGGATTGGGGCTCCTCTCCCTGCCACAATCCCATAACCTGTTGACTCGAGGGCAGGCTGGGTCCTTGGGCCCCTCCCCGGGCCCACAGCCGGCTGGACTTCTGGCATTTAACCTGCCCACGTGTTTCTTCCCCAGGAGCCTACCTGCTTCCCCGCCAAGTCAGGAAGCCTCTTCCTCACCAGGCCGGGAAGTCTGGCTCCCTGGCTGCACTTGGCACGGGGAATGCCCCACCTCAGCAGCTTCCAGGGTACCCCTTGTCCTGTACCAGTGGGAGGAGAGTCCAGAGCTTGGGAGGAAATGACTCAGGGTGGGAAGGAAAGTGCCCCACCCCGTGTCACCTCCCTGCTCCGTGGGTTAAATTCCAAGGATCTTGCCAGTTAAATCCCCTGTTAACTCTGAAGTTGGTCACACTGCAAGAAAGGCAGGCAGAGCTTCAGTTTCCTCACCTGTAGGGTGGGAAAAACAGACTCACCAGTAAACAGCAAGGGCTGGTGAACAAGGGTCTGGGGCCACCTTGGGGAGCGGGACAGAGTTAGCACATTTTACAGATAAGGAGAAGCCACTTGGCTGAGCCGGGAGAGCAAGGGGTCTGAGTGCCTGGGCCCTGCACCAGCGGGCTGGGGAGAGCCCATGAAAGTACTTAACTACCCCTCCCTCCTTTTTTCCTTTCCCTTCCTCCCTCCCTCCCTCCCTTCCTTCCTTCCTTCCTTCCTTCCTTCCTTCCTTCCTTCCTTCCTTCCTCCGCTCCCTCTCTCCTTGCCTCCTTCCTTAATCTGGAGACCAGGAAACTAATGAAAAACCAGGACCCCAGGACCTCAGGCTGTCAGCTGCAATGGAGGAGCCCTGGGGTCCTAGCTCCCCCAGCTCCAGGGCTTGGGGCCCACCTCACGGGCATGTGACTTGCACAGTTGTTTAGGATCTTATGCTTAGCGTAACGCTCTGCTGTTGTCAACCTGAAATTCTTAACAGTGCTTTGTCACAAGGGGCTGCACACTTTCATTTTGCGCTGCACCCCGCAAACTATGTGGCCAGTTGTGCCACGGAGCCGGGGTGCCAGGGAGCACACTCCCCCTGCTGCCCCCAGCCTTCTCAGGAGAGCCTGGAGACCTGGCCCCTGGCCCACGGCACTGCTTTATGCACCCGGCCTCCCCCGCCCCAGTGCCAGGCAGGCCCAGAAGGCTCTGCAAGCGTGGGAGGAGCGGGGAGAGCCCTGAGCTGGGGAAGTAGGAGCAGGCTGGCAGCCGAACGCCAGCTGCTGGCCTGGCAGTGGCCAGTGTCTCTGAGCAGGTATTGGGCAGAGGTAAGGGTGGGATGTAACCTGGCAGGCAGAGGGTTGGTGGGGGAACTTCCAGGCTCGGAGGGAGGGCTCTGGAGTGAGACCTGGCCTCCCTCAGGCTCCTGACGTGGGATCCTGGCAGATTAGTGCCTTCCTCCTGGCCTCAGTTTCCTCATCTGTGAAAGATATTAAAGTTGTCCTCACTGGAGCGCCCAGCTGGCTTGGTAGAGCATGCGACTCTTGACTTGGGGGTTGTAAGTTCAAGCCCCATGTAGGCATGGAGTCTACTTTAAAAAAGAAAAAAAAAAAAAAGTAGTCCCTACCTCATGGGATTGTATGAATTCACCGAGGTGGCCCCAGGGATGACACTTGATGTGTGGGACTATCATTTTCAATGGGATCTCCCTTGCTCAGCATCGGCCCTGCCCTCCTTGGCCCTGACCAGCTGCCTCCCTGCTCACAGTCTTGTCCTGGGTCTCCAAGGACAGAGTCTGCTGTTTCTGGGGAGATTTGAACTCACACCCCTTCCAAGAGGTTGCCTCCTCCTCCTCCGTCCCCCAGGAGATGCTGGCTCAGCCCCTGGGCCCAGTGCACAGAGGAGCCTCTGTCCTGGTCCTGCCCCCGGGTGGGATGTTTATTGCTGGGTTGGCCTAAATAATGTGTCTTTCTGGGATGGTGACCTGGCAGGCACCGTCCACCAGTTTCTTCCTCCGGGCCAAAGACAATGACCCCTGGCTGCTCTGGTGACTGGTTCTGGGCCTGCTGAAGGCTCTCCGAGGAAGCCTCTTCTCTGCCACTGAAGTTCCAGCAGCTTCCAGGAGGTGAGTTGGGGGCGGGACCTTCCCCCCAGCTCTGAGGAGTGTGGCCGGGTGGGGCACCTTGTGTGCGGCCCCCCTTCGGGGATCTGTTTTCCTGTCCACACCCCTGCTCCTTTGTCCCCTCAGCAGGCCTGCTGAGGACTCATCTACTTCCTCCTGAGGTCAGAGGGGAAACCAGGTGAGCTTCACAGCCTGGCGGTGTCTTAAGGGGCCTCTTCTCAGAAGGAACTTGGGGCCAGCTACTTCCTGGTTCCAGACCCACTGCCCAGGTCTTGGGAACATGCACTTGGGAGCAGCTCCTGTGTGCAGGCCCACACCTGCCAGAGACGCTCACTGGCCTCTTTTCTGTCCAGAGGAAAAGAGCCTGGAGTTCCCAGGCTTGACTCCCACACTGGCTGTGCCCAGGACCCAGGAGGGAGAGACCTGGGCAAGTCTTGACCCCTCTCGGGGCCTTGGTTTGGGTCTGTGTAAATTGGGAGCTAGGGTGGCAGGTGAGGGAGTCTCTGAGGGCTCCTTCTAGGGCCCCGCGGAAGGGAAAAATCCCAACAGTGCAAAGATTGCTAAGGGATAAGAAGGGAAGGTGGTCACACTCAGGACCCCCACCCTGGGACAAGAAGGCCTGAAGCAGAGGCCATCTCCCCCACACCATGGATGGGCAGCTCTGTGGGGAGGACCAGCTCCGGGCAGAGTTGGAGAACAGTACCAGAATTGGCCATGGCCACCCGTCCATGAAAGCCCTGCTGTGGGTGTGGGGCAGGCCTTGGGCTTTGGGGCAGAATGACTTGTGGTTATTCAGCAGATAGGCCTGGGGGAATCCCAGCCTGGGCACCTGTGCGCACCCCAAGTGGCACTTTCTCCCTCTAGAGGGTAGTAGTACCCATCACATAGGTTATTTTAAGGATTCAGTGAGGTGTATCTGCAAAGTGCTTAGCACAGGAGAAAGCACCTGGCATGCGACACACTGGGGCTGTTTTTCTTATCCTTGTTATTATTGAAGTGGTTCTTTTGGGGGGGCCCAGGAAAAGGGAAGTCAGCCCTACAGCAGAGCTTCCTGGAATAAGCCTTGGCCCGGCAGGCCTGACGGGGGAGCTCCAGGTCCGGGTTTGGTCCAGGAACTGGTTCTGCAACACTGTGGTCTCCCTAGTCCCTGTCATTGGCCTGGGGCAGGAAGAAGAGCTGGGGACAGGACACCCCCACCCCTGGTAGAGGCTCTAACCTGAGGGGTGACTTTGGGCAAGGGGCTCCTGTTCTCTGAACCCCCATAACCAAGCTTCCCACCCGGCTGCCCTGCTCCCTGCCCTGTGGTTTTGTGTCCTCCTGCTGGCAGGGTGAGAGGTCTGGGGCTGAAGTGGGGTGCGGCTCAGGAAGCGGATGGAGGTGGACACCAGAGGGGCAAGAAGCCTCGAATCCACCTTTGGCCCTCCCCACTGAGCCCCACTGCCTGGTGGGCAGTGTCTACACAACCTGGAGGAAGGACCTTGGGCACACCCCCCCCCCTTGGTTTTAATTTAAAACAAAGTGGTATTAACAAATGAGTCCAATGTAAACAGCCTGGAACTTTATGAAGCAGAAAATAAAGGTAGCACCCACCCTTCCTGCCCCACATCCATTCTCCAGGGGGAAACTACTGCCAGTGGTCCAGTGTGGATTCTTCCAGACTTTTTGTGTACAAATATATAGGCATAGATAGTTATATACTTTAAAAAAAATTTTTTAATGTCTATTTTTGAGAGAGACAGATTGCGAGCGGGGGAGGGGCAGAGAGAGAGGGAGACACAGAATCCAAAGCAGGCTCCAGGCTCCGAGCTGTCAGCACAGAGCCCGACACGGGGCTTGAACCCACAAACCACAAGATCATGACCTGAGCCAAAGTCAGATGCTTAACCGAC